ATGAGCAACTTAGGACCTCGTTGTAAATCCTATTAGATGCGGGTATAAGCGCTAGTACTCGTCGATTTGTGCTATGCTTACAGTGGCGGATTTAAAGGCAGCCCAACTGCCTCCCCTCCCCTCCAGCTACCAGGCATTGAATTATATTCAATGCCTGGTAGTACCATTTCGGCCCATTCCGGCTATTTAGAGGTGTCATAATCATAACCATAGTGGGGCTAAGGTGAGTGGACCGCTATCCCTCCTAGGCACCCTTTATTTCGAATTCCTGGATTTTCCGGTGGTAGGCCTATGAGTAACCGGGTGTGCCGAACATAATATATACATACAAATAACTTACCAAAACAGGCAGCCATGTAATATAAAACAAAATTGTCACCAGAATAACCATTTTTGTGAAGTCTCTGAGATGTTGCCGACTTAAACCAACACTTGTGCTTCCAATTTCGAGCAATCGCTTATAACGCAAAAGATTTCTAATTAACGATACATTGCAAATCAGTACGACTATCATTGATACCCATCCCTCAAATATTAAAATACTTGGAAAAGCCCCACCAGAGTACATTGGCACCAACAGGAGCCATGACTTACACGTCATTAAAGAAGTTTTATCGACTGTTGATGTGTCGCCAAGTTCTGTTATTGTGGATATTGCAATGACAAAGGAGAACACATAAATACCGAGAACTGTTAAGTAAGTCCTTCGTTGAGAGCTCCATAGTTTATATTTAAATGGAAAAACGACGGCGACAAAGCGTTCACACGACAATACCATCACAATAACCATCGCAGAGTTTTGAAACAAAAAAACAAAGAAGTAATAACATTTACACGCATTGTTGTTCTGGACGCCTGAAAGCGTTAGCACTGTGACAAAAAGCGGTAGAAGTATACATAATTGATCGGTGAAAGACAAAGAAGCAATGAGAATATCAGTTGTAAGACGTTTATCTTTTCGTTTTAGTGTATAGACGACCAATATCGGAAAGACGTTCAGTACCAGCGAAATTACATCAAAAGTCAATGTTAATGTTGCAGACAGGTGAGTTTTTGACATAGGTGTGGTTAGCATATTTTCTACTGTTACATTCATCGATGTGTCTCTGTCTATATACATACTGGCCATACTTATAATACCGGAAAATCGATTTATTATATAGGCCTACACAAAAGAGAAAATAAAAGCTGATTAACATGCCATTTATTTAGAGAAAATTAGCATATATTTTTTTATTTCTGTAAAACACAATTGAAACTAAACGAATATTGTCCATTTTGTAATTATAGATTCAATAAACATAAAGACAAATTATTTTGTCATACGAGATAATTGATTATTTGCCTACCTAAATTAGGCTAATTCATGTGCGTGACAGTTACAAAACTATTGAACACGAAAGAGAAAGTAAAATGAAATGTATATAGCTTACTTGTATACGTTTAGGATAAACTGTAAAATGTATAAATTGTTGTTTAATAGTACATAACTATGCGCAATCTGCACGTCAAAAGTACAAGATTGACAACTTTCTGACCGATTTATATTATTATTATTATTATTATTATTATTATTATTATTATTATTATTATTATTTTAATTTGTAAATGCTTGCACCATATGATTGAACATTTCTTATAATAGATATATTATTATTGGTATATTATTTTATTTTTATATTTATTTATATCTTCTATTATTGTTACCAATACTATAACACCCACTTAAAGTTGATTAAGAAACTCACATGCTGCACTAAGAACCTATTCATGATACATTTTGAAAATTTAGGTTCGTATTATATAAGCAGGTGTTTATTTTATAAATACGTTTGCACTCATTGCCTATGTCCTAATACTATACTGTAATACAATATACAAATTGAATAGTTAGCTGATAACTGACGGTAGTTCAATCCACATTGGTTGGATTTTTTTCTAATTTGAAATACTTTGGAAGATAATTTTATGATAACATATTCTTTGCCTAATTCATTCAACTTGTACATGACATAGGCCCATTACTTTATGATTATTGACATGAATACGATAACTTAAGGATAACTATGTTAGCCTGTATTTGTAACTATTACGTGAAAGAATATTTTAGTTTTTCGGAAGACAATTTTGTAGATGAAGAAAGAAAAAGAAAAAATTGATCACCCAAAGCACCTTAAAGGTTTATTTTCGGGCGTCTCGAACACCTCCCTAGGGTAGTGTTATCTCGATCTGCCCACTTTTGGCACCACCCACCGCCAGCCCTTTTCGGACATATATCTGTCTCTTATACACATCTTTATATTCAATGCCTGGTAGTACCATTTCGGCCCATTCCGGCTATTTAGAGGTGTCATAATCATAACCATAGTGGGGCTAAGGTGAGTGGACCGCTATCCCTCCTAGGCACCCTTTATTTCGAATTCCTGGATTTTCCGGTGGTAGGCCTATGAGTAACCGGGTGTGCCGAACATAATATATACATACAAATAACTTACCAAAACAGGCAGCCATGTAATATAAAACAAAATTGTCACCAGAATAACCATTTTTGTGAAGTCTCTGAGATACTTTGCATAGAGTATATTGGCACATCAAGGAAGTAATTAGGCATAAATATTAGCATGACAAAATAAGGTGATTAATGGAATAACTAATTGTTTATGTGTGGTCAGATAGCAGATATAAATTGTTTGCTTACTTAACAAATATAAATTCATTGGTCATTTGATATATTGGAGTTAAACAAAATAGTTGATGAAAATATATAATGGTAATATATACGGCTATTAAAAGCATAGTAATTAAAATACAGTTATGTAATAAAAAATATCATGATTGTGTCGTAAAAGGGACGGGTTTTGTAAAAGTACATATTGTAGATCATATAGTGATTAAAAAAGTATAATATACAAGATATATGTCTCGAGTGATGTACATATAAGAATAGATATCGAGTGATATATTTGCTATTTGGGCTGTGGGAATAATTAAGATTTATTATTTACAAAAGAGTAACCACTAATAAAGCCTAGGTCTTTGTTTAATCCATTAATGTGTGATTTCAGATGAAGGATCCATCTGAATTACGTTGAATATACGTTTAATAGCCGTATATATTACCATTATATATTATATATATATATATATGTATGTATGTATGTATGTATGTTGTATATATAATGATTGCATATGTTGACGTAATGGAGACATAAAATTTATTCTGTCCTTCCTCCTTAGACAACAGTTGGCGGTGAAATGGCTTATACCATGGAGGAAATATATTAATATATTTCCTCCATGCTTATACCAACATTGTTGTCTAATGTTACCAACAGTTTATTGGTTAATTGGCTACGCTTTCTCATTAGGACAAGCCCATTATCTTAGAGTTTTTGTTTTTTTTTCGGATTGTATTTTGTATTTCTCACTACCCTCTCCCACTAGTGGTTTTTTTCAGCATACGAGTGACAAGAGTTTGCCGAGTTGCTAACTCGGCAAACTCGGCAAAAACTCGTAGGACGATTCGGAAAGCTCGGGGAGAACCCTTACCTACTCGTAGCAGCTCTGAACTCGTGGCGCTAATTTTGAACATGTTCAAAACTAGTACCACGAGTAGACAACTCGTAGTAAACTCGAAGAACTCGTAGGTAGCTCGTGTGCTCGGGGTACTCCTACCTAGCTCGTACACTACCGTACTCGCTCGAATAAGTGCCCCGTTTGAATAACCACCCCTCCTAACGTGAAAATTTCCTTAAGCGCCCCGTTTGAATAAGCGCCCCTTTTTTCTTTTTATCAAGTCAATAATCCAATCAATCATTGGACTGTGGTAGTTGGCATGACTAGTCCTACTCCTCTTTTTTCTTTTTCCGACCTTTAGCACATTCTCATTTGAGTTTTCAAGAATAAAATACAATGATCCTGCCATCCTGCTAATCTCAATCGGCCGACGGCCAACAAGCTAACCACTACCCACCACCACTAATTGCATCTGCTATTTTGCTGTTATGTAAATATTCACGCATTCTTGTCATGAGCCATGTTCTCTGGACGATTAGGCCTGTCTTTTTTAACCACCATTCGTAATGTCCTTATATAATCTTTTTTCATTCAAAACGTGCCTCTTGAAATTAATAATTTCCCATAAGAACCCATCGATTTTCTTCTATTTCCATAAGCGCCCCCCCCCCAATTTCCACTCTGTTTTCATAAAGCGCCCCGTTTAAATAAGAAATGTAAATACACTGTATTTACCTTTCTTTGATGATTTATATATAATTTAACAGTGTT